CAGTTGTCGTGAAATGATCGATGTAGCAAGCTTGCATTTTCTATTAAAATCGACTGCATTACTTATGTTCGGAAGAAGTAAAAGAAAAACTGTTAACTAACTAGAAGCAGTAATTAACTTACTAATCCCTGCATAAGGTAATTTCGCACGAAATAAAACTCACCACAACCAGGTTGCTTCAAGAGTTTCATCAAAACCCACTTATCCTTCATGTATATAACAGCAAGATTAATAAAAATCTCGGAAAATGGCGTTTGATCTTGGCATAGCAAAGCAACCCAATTCGAGATGACGGTCAGATCGAGCCGTTTTATTCATGTTACAACAGAAGACAAGGTCTTGGAGGCTCATGCTATGAAATTTAAAAAAGACATCATTTTCCCTTAGCTCGATCTCGAGACCCAGAAATTCGGATGCTGGTATAAATTTAGGATGGGACGGGGGTCCCGGACGAATCCAAGCAGTACTGATCTGGTGAAGGCAGAAGTCAAGGGAGTCGAAGTCTCTCAGCCGGACTCGAATGGTCCCACAGATGATAGAATCCCATTTCTTAACCAGATCAGCAAAGACCTGCTGGCTTCTCATGAAATGTCTACAGACGTGAATTAGCTCCATTTTTTGCCGACCTTGTCGATATCCACAATGGAAGCCGGAACTTGTTCATTTAAGACGATATCTGACCCAACCCAAATGGATACTCGCAAAAACCTTTGCGTTTGCCGGATCGGTGGTACAGTTGCGCTCTTTCCCAGACTGGTTTGAATGGATTCCTAATAAACTTTGACGATATCTGCTTTGAATATTAGATCCTGTGAGGCCTGAAGCTCATGAGGCGCGCAAACTGTTAGTTTTATCGCAATAAATATCTTTTCCATGCATTATTTGGAAGTTGTTATGTTCACATTCAATGGAGGAAATCTTTTACCTTTTGTCCTTTGCGTACTCAAGACGAGCCTATCCATTTTCATTTCATCAGCACTTGTTCAGAGTCCACCCAGAACCCCCCATAATGATTTATGGGATAGAACTTTGTTGTGAGTAGACCATTTCGTGCTGAATTTTCTCCCTCCACTGTTTTTAAAACCTATTGTGCTCTCCTTTTATGCACTTTTTCATTGAAGGTTCAATCGGAGTTTGCTGAATATTGCTGATTGGATTTTGTGAAGGCTATCAACTTGGTGTAGAAACACTAGTTGTACAACCGAATGCGTTTCCCATTTGGTGCCGTAATTGAAAAGCCCAATTCCCCCCCCCCTAGTAAATCATGAAGTACTGGCCTTTTGATATGTTTTATTCTATTTCCAATGTTTACGGAAAAAATAAATTAGTCTTATTGGCCTGAACTCGGGTTAGCATCTTGGTTGTTATGTAAAGAAAACTATGTAAAACTAACTCGTACTAGAATATCTGCCATGCCTGCCGTGATCTCTTCCAGCATCAGACTGTTGACTTGGTACATTTTCAGACGTTCCACTGGCATCGTGGACGATGTAGTCAATGAACCTTACCATCCATACCCTCTAATTATAACCTGCCCAGAAGGTGAATGAGGGCTATCCGTCACACGCTACAGATCATAACCTCCACTTTTTTAAACCTGATTAAATCTAATGGGGCTTAGTGGGGCTCAATCATATTCTCCACTGGTTTCTCATCCTCTCCGTACCGGAATAGCTGATCCGATTTAACTGTGAATAGATCTGACTAAATCCTCTCAAAAGGATATACCTAAACTTGCTTTAAATAAGCAAATAATAAATAGTGATAGTGAAAGGGTGATACAAGGATATAGGAAAGGTGAATGCACCAGAACAGAAGGAGATATATCACATATGTCCAGCCGACACTTGGTCAAAGGATCGCCTTCACTTGTCTCTTTGAAGAGTTGTAGTTTGGTGCTAAGAATGACAAGGGTCACTGATGATGTCGACTTCGATGCTGACGAAACATCTAGGTATGTACCAAGTCTACGCTGGAAAATATCATGGATACTATGCAATCTGGGCAAGGTGCATTCCTCCCTGTAACCCTGACAATATGACTAGGGTGCGAAAACATGGTCAAAAAACTGATAAATAATGAATGGAGACCGCGACTATTTAGAAGGCATCATCATCTTGGTCTTCATACCTTTTATAAACTCTTTAAATTTGCAAACAGCTTCACCAAATCTCATCGGATTCTCCATCATGCTTTCTACTGGCATTCTCAATAATTATTGTTAATAGGTTTCCTATGAACTACTGATAGTAGTAATACAACTTTCCTTCATCGGCATTAATCTCACTATAAATGCGATGTGGGAAGGATTAGGCCAGTCTTGAAAGTCCCTTGTGCTCTGTAACATGCTGTACTGCTTAGTTTTAATGTGTCGCTACTATACATACACAACTCGGGGCGATTCCCTTTTAGGCTGCTGACAAAATCCAGGCGAGGTGGAAATTGTAGTCCAGCCTGACAAGGTTAAGTAAAATCCAATATGTGCATTGTAAGATCCTTGCATATTTATTGAGGGAAAATTTGATTATCATTCCTTAGTCATCTTATGTAACAACCTATGCTATTATAGTTACTATCTAAGATTTACGGTATAAGACTACAAAGATTTATTCATGACTTACTAGTAGTCTCAAAAGCTTCTCAATGAGGCTATTAGAGGAATGTTGATAGAGTTGTACACGAATCATTTCAATACCATTAGTGAATATCAACATGAGGGTAAACTTGAAATAAATCAAGCTCAACCAAACCGATACCATGCATAGTCGCACACAGGCATAATTGATGGATTGGGAAAATGATTGATTCAAAGTAAGCAGAAATAGAAAGAGATTTCAATGTGATAATTAGCATCCGCTACAATAGTGGAAATGCTACAGATCTGTAGAAAACTATCACAGAGGAGAATGAGGTCAAACAAAGAGGAGGTATACACCAGAAAAAGGGGGAAAGCGACCCAGTGAACAACCCACCAAAGCGGCATCGATGGAACAAATTACCCTCTGATATTGTACCATGACTCTTTTTTTCACACATTACAGTATAAATAGTGAGTAGGTTTCTAATCCAACTCGAAAAAGAACTTGAATCTCATGGGTCGTCTAAAGTCATGTAAGGACCGCAAGTTAGATTTCTCACAATAATATGAATAGACTGCCTCAAGATGTCATTGAACATCACTTGACCTTGTTTCCCAAACGACTATCGCATCTAGGCTGTACTGAAGGTTAGACAGGATTCGAAACTCGATCGTGTGAATTAAGCAGCGAAGTGAAGTCTGCTCATTTTTTGTGGGAAATTAAACTAACAGTCCTCAAATCAATGAAGCTCAAATTGACTCGATTTCCTACACTTCCTTATACTTTATAAGCAGAAATGCATTATCCATCAGACTCAGTGGTGACGAGGTCAATGTCCAAATTTTCTAGCTGGTTGTGACAAGGTTTGAAACCTTAAGTCTCCTGATTAATTAGGCTTTTCCGAAAAATAAGACAGCCAAGTTTATATATTCGAGTATTTGATTGATTATATTGTGGATGAAACAAATATAGGAAGAATAAGTATAAGATGAATTTTTTGCAACGACATTGATTTGGAGACGTTTATTTCGTAAGAAATTACGTGATAAAGATATTCGTAGATCTATCTCACCAGCTTAGCCCGTTTGCATATAAAACGAAGGAGGATGCCTCGTGGACTGCGTCAACCTGAAGTTCGTATTAAAGCCAAACTGCTGCAGAATAACGGGAATCAGTCGTCGTCTTTTAGTGAAATTGCCTTAGGAATACCTTCGTTATTCACTTGCATACGAAGTAAAAGTCTCCCCAATAATAGCATGATTTATACCACTATATATGTACTCTTTCATCTTACACTTGATTCTTTACTTCAAGACTACATTTTCCCGTGTAATGCGTTAAATTAGAAAAAATATTGGTTTTCACTTTATGCGATCATTACTAATTAAAACCCTGAAATGCACACAGGGACTGGAACCGAGTGAAATCGGTCAACCAGGAAGATAAGGAACGGATCTACAAGACAATGAAGGGATCCGGATTGGAGGCCCGAGTCGGATAAGCCGATAGGAAGAGAGGGGTTGGAGTAGATAGCAAGTGTGATGGGGCCACACTAGAATTGCCACAAAAGGACACACATCTTGAAGGCTGTAATGTAGGCAAGTGAGAAGTTTGTGATAGGGCGTCAATGGGATAAGAGGGTAAAGAGAAGATAGATAGGCCAGGACA